AACAGCAAAACAGAAAAAAAAAAAAAAAGTTTTTTTTTTTTTAACTACCAGCAGTTTCTACTTTTGGTATGAACAAACAAGCACCTACCAGAACTTGCTCTCACAGATAACAGCTATAAACCCTGGACAAAAGTAAAAACAAACAAACAAACAAACAAACAAATCAGAAGGCATAAGAATGTAAATAGAAGCAGACAGATTCTGGAGGGAGTCAAATCTTAAAAGAATCCAATGGCAAGGAGTAAGTTACCTATTTTTGTAGTTTTCGGCCTGGGAACAGACTGAGATCAGCACCTTGTTGGGAAGCTAAAACTCTGATTTAAAAATAAAAGAATAAAAAACAACCATAGTCCTTCTGGCCTAAAGAACCAGAGGACAGTGTGTGCTGGAATATAAGAGGGCAAAGGAAATATTGGAAAGGAATGATCCAAAGAGAGAGAGAGGCCTGAATTCTGTGTATAAATTCTGACCAAGTTTCTGTCAGATCCTGAACCACATAAGCATAAGGCAGCCTTACAGCAGCTGAGCTAAAGATAGGGGAAATGAGCTGAGAGTTGAGCTGCTCCCCAAAGAGCAGAGTTTTGCACTTTAGATCCACCTAAGTCCATCTGCTTGAGAAAACAAAACATTAACACTCTCAGAGAGTGCTAAAATAGGATCTGTAATCTACAAAACATTGAATCCATAATGTCTGAAATAGAATTCAAAAGTATTCAACATACAAAGAACCAAAGAATATGATCCAGATTTAAGAGAAAAGACAACCAATTGAGACCAACCCCAGCATGATCCAGATGTTGGAATTAGCAGATAGGGATTGTCAAGCATAATATTGTAATAACTACGCACAGTGCCAGGTGGGTCACTTCATAAATTATATAAATGTCTAACCATTATATTATATACCTGAAACTAATATAAAATAATGTTTAATGTCAATTCTAATTGAAAAATTAATTTAAAAAAATAATTGTCAAGCAGCTATCACAATTATGCTCAATAAAGCCAAGGACAAAATACTTTCAATGAATGAAGGGCAGGAAATCTCAAATGAGAAATAAAAACTATATTTAAAAAAACAATGAAAATTTTAAAACTGAAAAATACAGTGTTTGGGTGGTAAACACAATGCAATATATATATATACATATATGTATGTGTGTGTGTGTGTGTGTGTGTATATATATATATATATATATATATATATATATATATATATATATATATATATATATATATATATATATATATATATATGCTTTACTATTGAATTGTACACCTGAAACTTAACTGGATTTCATTAACCAATGTCACCATAATAAAAAAAAAGAAAAGAAAAAAGAAAAATACAATATTCGAAATTAAAAATTCTCTGGATGGACTTGACAAAATAAAAGGCACAGAATTGTAGATCAATAGAAATTTTCTAATCTGAATAACAGAAATAAAAAACATTGAAAAATATAAACAGATTCTCAGGGACATATAGACAATACAAAAATGTCTGCATACATATAATATGAATTTTAAAAGTAAAAGGAGAGAATAAGGCCATAAAAAATATTTGAAGAATAATGGAGTAAATTTTCCCAATTTGTTGAAAGGCAAATATTTATAAATTTAAGAAGTTCAGTGAACCCCAAGCAGCATAAATATAAATAAAGACACACATAGGCATATCAGAGTCAAACTGTTGGAAACTAAAATAAGAAGTTTTTGAAAGCAGCCACAGGAAAAAAATGTCGTATCACATAGTGGAAGGGCCATTTGCATTACTACTGAATTCTTATTAGGGAGACCAGAAGATAGTGGAACACCTTTAAAGTTTTGCAAGGAGGGTACAAGGAACACCTGGCAACCAAGAATTTTATATTCACTGAAAATATCCTCCCTAGATAAAGGCAAAGTAAAGGCATTTTTAAAAACCCACCAGCAGTAAAAGGAAAGAAGTTCAATCTTCTGCCATGAAGGTTGAAAAAGCTGTCTGAGAAAGGAACAGAATTCTGATGTGGTGCCATTTGGATCCTAATCTTACACTTATCTTCCCTGGAAGAAGCATGGAGAAAAATAGATGAAGTGGAAAAATCTTGATAATTTTCAGCAACAGCCTTACTCCCGATTCCAATTTGAAGAGAATACAAGAACACAAAGGCAAAAGGATTAAATAACAGCATGTGATTTTTTTAAAAAGAAAGGTTAAAGTGCTAAAGAGCAAAATTCTACTTCAGATCTAATAAATAACTTAGAAAAACAAACAAGTAACGGAATATCAAATTAATTTCTTGGTGGAAGGCTTAAGATCATCTTAATGAATGTTGAGGTAAAAGACCTGAAATTTAAAACAAAAAGTAGATGATAAAGATAATCTGACATAAGGATTATTAATGTCCTGAAAGTGAAGAACTACAATAAGTAGAAATGTAATAAAGGAAAATATTTCCAAAATGTAAGGTTCATTCTATTAATCAAAATGATATACTATTTTCCAATAATATTGGTAGAAAAAAGAGAGATTTGTATATATGCTTATTAAGTTGAAGATTGAAAATAAAAGAAAAAATGTATGTTCAGGAAAAATAATCCAATCACCTATGAAAATGAAAAAAATTAAATTTTCCACTGTAATATTCGATGGCAGAAGACAGTGGAACAATGTCTACAAAGTGACCTAGAAATATTACATCCCATCAAAATGTCTTTCAAGTATAAATGCAAAACACAGACATTCTCAAATATGCAAGAACTCAAGAAAAGTAACATGCGTGCCTGATCCCTTCCTGAAAACATAAGCTCTACTTGATCAAGAGTAAAATCAGAAATTAAAAACTCAGAAATAGAAATGCTGGAGCAAAACCCCCAGTGGTGAGCCTCAAATCTATGTAAATATCAAAGGAAAGGTAAATAACAGAGGAAGTTATGGAACAGAATGGATTGTAACTGCCACAATCTTTACAAAGAAATAATACTGACCAACAAAAAGAAAAATGACAGGAGGGGAGAAGGAGGTGGGAAGAGGTACAACAGTGCTAGTCGCATATTTTCTAGTAGGTCATAGGTTGGTGGTATCTAAAATCAAAATACAATGTTTTTGAAAGCGTACTAAATCAAACCCTTAATAATTTTTACAATCTTTTTTTCTCTTAATCTTACACAGAAGCCAGAGAGAAAGTACTAATAACAAACATTTTCTGAGTGTTAACCATATGCTTACTGCTCTAAGCTCTTTACACATATTTATTTATTTAATCCTGTCAGTAACTCTCTAAGTGCCTCAAAAAGGAACCAACCCTGCCGACACCTTCGTTTTGGACATCTAGACTCCAAAAATCTAAGAAAATACATTTCTGTTATTTTAAGCCATCCTGTTTATAGTACTTTGTTACAGCGGCTCTAGAATAGCACTGATAACATCAAATGTGATTATTTGATATTGATATTATTATTATTTGATATTGATATCCCGTGGAGGGAAATGCATCAACATTTGAAAGATGGGCATGACTCAGTGAGCCAATATTTCCAAAAGCCCGATGTATATGTCACAAAATAAAGCATGGGTAAAAGATCCATTCAAAGTGTAAAATAGACCAATAGATTTTAATATAAGAGAGCACAAAACATTCATTCTAAGATTTCAGAACCCACATTGCAGCTAACCTTTAAGGAACTAATACTCATTGTGCTTTAGAGTAGTATCAAAGCAAATAATCTACAATTATCTGAAAGGACTATTAAAACATCCTTTCCTTTTCCAGCTACTTATCATTGTGAACCTGGATTTTCTCCAAATACTTCAGCCAAAATAATGTATTAGAACAGATTGAATACAAAAGCAGATATGATCATCCAGCTGTCTTTTATTAAGCCAGACATTAAAGAAATTTACAAAAATGTAAAACAATGCAAGTCTTCTCATTAATTTTGTTTTGTTTTGGAAATGGAGTTATTTTCATAAAAGTATTTTTTCATAGTAATATGTAATGGGTGTACTGTTATTTTAAATAAATATTTCAAAATTTCTGTTTTTATTTCTAATACAGTAAGTATCTCTAACTATAGCTCATATGCATAAGAAGCTTTGGGGGATCCTCGGTGGGTTTTAAGAGTTTAAAAGGATCCAGAGACCCAACAGTTTCACTAAAAAGTAAAAACCATAGGGTTTGGAAAGTGATGGCAGGAGTTGAGAGAGAGAACAAGCTTGGTTTAGTCCCAGTAATATTTTCCCCCCATGGGGATTGATTATGTTAAGAACAGGCTTTAAAGGACAGATGATGTCGGTTGCCTGAGGGGAGCTCTGGTGGGGCTGACCATTAGGCCCCTGTCTAAGGGTGCGGAGCGCAGCTTTCTGAGTATACAGAGTGCACAAACTACAGTCATGAAAGACCCAGGAAAGAACGGTGTTACGAAGTGAGAGTGAGTGATCAGGACAGAGCCCAGGGTTACAGCAACGCTCAGGCATCATGAGAGAGTCAGCTAGAAACTCATCTATGAGTCACAAAAAAAGAGTATTCAGGAGAAGGCGAAACCTCACAGAGAAGGATGTCACAGAAATAAAGCAAGGCAGAATTTTCAAGAAGGGAATGGTCAATGGCAACAAATACTATAGAGAGATCAACTGGGTCATTACTGACCAGCTGGAAGCAGTCTAGAGAAAGGGGAGAAGTGAAAGAGGCAGCAGGCATGGGCTCTCTAAAGTAATCAGCATGAGGTCGGGTGAAAGTTAGGAGAGTCGAATTTATATGATTGGTGAGAAGTCCAGAGGAGAAGCAGAAATTCAAAATTTGGAAAAGTGAAGTAGAACAATAGAACAAAACCTCCCAAGAAAACCAGAGGATAAAATTTTTTTGAGTGTTCAGGAGACAGTGGGGTGTGGAAGGCAATCCCATAAGGGCTTCAAAACCCAACTATCTGATTCAAGTCTTGCTGTTGTCACTCAGCCAATAGACCAGCACAGGAGCTGGGCTATATAGAATAAACGTTTATTGTCAGAGCACCGGTGATGTGAAAAGGCAACAGATTAACACCTTCAAAAACTGCCTTACTTTATTAGTCCGGCTTAAGGTTTTAAAGGAAAAATCTGGATATTATTCCAGGGGCTGCATGATGGTTCCGGTGCAAGGGTCTGTTGTATTTCACAGAGCCTTCCTACTGGCAGCGTCATCCTCAGGTGGTGTTAGCAATCCAAGAGCAAAGGTAGGCGTAGTCTGGAAAGAATGTTAGGCTATAAAGATTTGTGATCAGTAAACATAAGGGCATTAATCATAAATTTCAGGGCAACTGTCTATGGAAGGGGGCGTTCCAAGCTCTGAGTTGAACTACAGGGGACAATCTATTGTTAAGCTATAGGACAAGAAAAAGTGAGGCCAGGGATGCTGTGAGGCCTCTACTATGGGGGTCCCATCCAGGCCCTTCTTCAACATGATGCAGGCTGCCCCAGAAATAGTGTGGCTGCCTGTGAGGCCACTCTGCAGCTGAGGCAGTCTGACAGGGCTGACCACTGGAGGCTGTCTGTTGACCAGTCAGTCCCTCACCCGGGCAGCAAGCCTCCCTTGGAGGGGGTCTAGGCAATTCATCTCATGGCTGCCGTCCTGCCCTTCCCTTCAACTTCCAGGCTTCATGGTCAGTCTTTCTCCTTCCCATCTGCCTCACCCACCTCTGGAGAATCTGACAGCCCAGGAGGTTTGCCAGCAGGGTGTTGGAGAAGGAAGCAGCAAGAACTTTAGACTTGGGAAATGCTCTTTATCTATAATTGTAGCCCCAGGCACCCATAATTAAGAAAGTGAATTTACTTCTAAAGAAATTTCATTCCCGCATTCCTGGTAAAAGACATTTTGGGGATTTTCTGCTGTGTCTGGATCTGTGTCTATGTCTATATCTGACTCCCACTACCATCTGAAATAAACTAAGAGTGCTGACCATCAAGAAGATGGAGGCTTCTTGAGCCTTGGACATTCTATTACTCACTCAAATTTGGAGCTAACACTGACCAGGTTGGCCCTGGCCCAGGAGAACTTGAATTAAACTAGAGGTGGAGTTTGAGAAGTAACTTTTATGCTTGTCTATGTCTCCTTGAGGGTCATCTTATGAATCCAGAGATCAGCATGTTGTCAGGGGCCTAGCAGGAGTTCCGTATATGTTTGCTGAATGAAACTTCTGCATGAATTTGACTCTATTATGAAATTTAGCTGAGATGAGCACAGCTCTAAATTAACCACCCCACCCTCATTTGTTGAATTCCTGTTAAAGGGGAAAGCGGATTTTATTTTTAGGAAGGTGATGGTCAAGTATTTAGTGACTGAGAGAGAAGATGAGGGAAGGACAGAGGCACTTCCAGAAAAATCTCAATTTATGACAGAAAGTCCGTGTAAAGCCCTGAGGCTCTTGCTTAATTGGTAACCCTTAGCTAGCTACTTATCATTCGTAAGGCTTACTGGTAAAATGAGCATATTCTTACCTAAATCACAAGGTGTTATAAGGATTAATGATAACAGGTCAAATGCCTAGCAGGAGGCCTGACACTTGAGGTAGGTTATTCTAGTAGTTCTTCATCATAATAAATAAAGGCTTGTGTTTTACTACGGAGGAGGGAGAGTAGGAGAGAAGGGTCAGTGAAGCTGGGGACACAGAAGTTCTTTTCTCAGGCACAAAGAAAGGCACATTGTTACCTGTCATTCATTTGTTCATGCATTCAAGATATTTACTGAGTGCCTACTATGTGCCAAGCATGATGTGAGCAAGATAGGCAAAGATTCTCGCCCTTGTGGAGCTCACATTCTAGTGGGGGAGACAGACAATAAAAACATAGAGTATATTAAGAGATAATGGATACTGCAGTAAAAGACAAAAGGGTAGAGCATTAAATGGGATCAGGACTGAAGGAGCGAGTGGGGTGGAGGGAGGGAGGCAAGTTGCAGAAGTAAATACAATGGCCAATGTAAGTATGTGTCCTTGAGGAAGTGACATGAAGCAAAATCTTAAAGGTGAAGACCACTGGACATCTAGAGGACAGCAGTCCCATAGCTACACCAGAGCCTTCAGGCAGGAGTCTTCAGGTGCAGTCACTTCAGGAGCAGCAGGGGCCAGGGTGGCTGGGCCAGTGAGCAAGGGGCATGGAGCACAGAGGAGTCACGTTGAACGAGGGGCAGATCACATTGGCTTTGTGGCTTTGTGGCTTTGTAGCTGGACTTTGCTTTGCTCTGAATGAAAAAGAAGGCTTTGCAGGGTTTTGAACAAAAGAGTAACAGGTTCTGACTGTAAAGGGTTTTACTGCCTTTGATGGGGGATCCATAAGAGGAATTTCTACCACTCTTCTTATGATGGATGTAAAGTAATCTGTTCAAAGATTACGTAGTTTATGTGGGACAAGTCTCAGCAGGTTGTTGCTGGGGATGGCACAAAGCAAATGTTTTCCTAGGTTTGAGAAACTCAAAAAAATGCAAATCCAGAACTTTCAGGCTTGTTTTATGTATAAACCATTTACCTTCGGCAAAGTAAAGAAAGAACTTTAAAATGCAGACAAAGAGAAAAGATTGTGAGACTCCAATTTTTTCCCTTATTTTTACCTAATTAAATTTTTAAGTAGATGTTACCTGCATAGGATACTTCAAAAGGTGCAAAAGGATGCAAAATGTGTCTTTCCCCTTACCCATTTTCTGGTCCAACAGTACCCCCCCACCCCCTCCCCAAAGAAGCAGAAATGGTCACCATTGGTTATATAGACTCCTAGAGGTATATAAAACAGTATATGTGCACCTTATTGTTATGGACTGAATGGCATCATCCCTGCCCCCAGCCAAATTCATCTGTGGAAGTCCTAACCCCCAGTACCTCAGAATGTGATTGCATTTAGAGATAAGATCTTTAAGAGGTAAATAAGGTTAAAGGAGGTCATTAGGGTGGGCCCTAATCCAATATGACTGATGTCTATAGAAAAAGAGGAGATTCAGACACAGACATAGAAGACCCAGTGAAGACACTGGGAGAAGATGGCCATCTACAAATCAAGAAGAGTGGCCTCAGAATAAACCAATCCTGCGACAGCTTAATCTCAGACTTCTAGCGCCTAGAATTATGAAAAATAAATTTCTGTTGTTTAAGGCACTCACTCCGGGTACTTCGTTATAACAGCCCTAGCAAATTAATACACTTATGTATATCTTTGAATGGAACACATATGTAAAACTGAATTTTGTGTCCTTCCCCCAAAACTCTTATGTTGAAGTCTAATCCTCAAGGTGATGATACTGGAGGTGGGGTTTCTGGGAAATAGTTAGGTCATGAATGAGGTGTAACCCTCATGAATGAGATAGTGCCCTTATAAGAAGAGGCCAGAGAGCAGGCTCGCTTTCTTTCTGCCATGTAAGGACACAACAAGAAGTCAGCAGTCAGCAAACAAAAAGAAGGTCGTCAGTAGAAGCTAAGCATACTGGTGCTTTGATCTTAGACCTCCAGCCTCCAAGATTATGAGAAATAAATTTCTGTTGTTATAGTAGCTCAAATTAACTTAGACTATATGTATACATTGTTTTATTCACAATTTTAAAGATTGTATATACTTTTCCTTTTTTCATTTAAAACAATATCTTAGAGATCATTCCAGGCCAGTACACTTGGAGTTGGTTTATTCTTTCTAAAGACTACAGAGTATTCCACTGCATGGCTGTTTAATAATTTATTTAACCTTTTCTTTATTAATGGAGATTCAAGTTATTTTAGAACTTTGCTATTGTAAAATATGCTACAATGAGTAACCTTGTATACATGTCATTTCATACATATATATGAATATAAATAGGATAGATTCTTAGAAGTATAACTAACTGTTTGGCTGAAAATAAATGGACTTAAAAAATTGACAGATATTGCCAAATTGCCTTCCAAAAGTACTGATGTACTCTCCAATCAGCAAAAGTTTCTATTTCTCCATAATACCACCAATGTATTTTGTCACAAAACTATTTGATCGTTGCCAATATCACGAGTGAAAAATAGTCTTGTACTTATAGATAATATTAAGTGACTTTTCACTGTTTAAACATTTTATTTCAAGTGGGAATTGAAATTTTGAGCATTTTTCTTTTCCTACCATGCACGAGGTCTGGGCAGCATAACCACTAATCTGGCCCCCAGATGTTTGCTACTCTGCAGTATTTCATATCCTGTCTTACTACTGTCCACAGCAGTTAGTACCAGAGGGTGCTTTTTCTGATGCCTCCACAGTTAGGATCACAGGGATAATTGCCATTACCATGGTTGTTACCATGGACATCCACAATCTAGCTTATAGATGTATAAACAAATATTTGCAATTTCACATCCACCTGGAGGAACCCATGAAGTTTTCAAAGTGAAGGTGATACTTGAAATACTTACGGAAGTTGTCCAGCCATTCTAGGCAGATAAAAAGGCATAAAATTTAAAATATTGCATACTTGGAAAGTCAAGCAGTCTGGCAGAACACCCAATGGAAAGAAAGAAAGAATGCGGTTGGAAAGCCCCAGCATCCTTGTACAGGTCTGTAAATGGGAGTAATCACACCTACTTCTGGTTTATAGCTGAGGCTTCTCTCTGGCACTCACGGGTATGACAAACCCCAATTCCTCTCCTGGTTTTCCTCTCTCCAGGTAACCTGCTCTCATAAAGAGTGATCAAACAAACAAATGAAAAAAAAATTTTAAATGCCTTTATTGGTTTTTCCAATTAATAGAAAATCTTATGTAGCCAATTCAAGAAATATAGAACAGTATGAAAAAATCTAAAAGAACAAAATACTAAGCTTCTAGAAGTAACTACTGCTAAGAGTTTGTTGGAATTCTTTACAGAGATCTCCCTAAACATATAAGCACATATATTTTAGGTAAATGATATAACATTTTTCACTAAAAGTTACAGAAATTTTTCATGTTGATGAATATAGAACTACATTCTCCTGATTTCTGCTCCCATCATATTCTATTCTGTTAGACCTGCCAGAATTCATTGACCGATGCTCCATTATGAGCATTTTGGCTATTATACAAAATTTACTGCAATGAAAAACCTTGTATATTTATGTACTTCAAGGTTATTATATTTTTTGATGTAATGATATCTTTGATTGATTGATTGACTTTGAAATGACCCAAGCCTGACCAGGTTTTCCTGAGAAAAGACAATTTCTAGTCATTGCCTCTTTGACTCATTTGTCTCCCTCCCTCCTGGCACAAGTTTTAATTTAAGAAATTTATTACCACGTCACTTGTATCCTCAAGTCTCCCAGGTTGGCCTGGACAGACTAGGCAGCCACTTCCCTCTCAGTGGGTAAAAATGGGAATGTTGCTGAGATGATCATTCATACCTTTTCCTTGCATCACTGAATTCTTGTGATGGTTAGGATCTGACAGGTTCTCCCTGGGCTCTTTCATCTGCTATCCCACATAAATGACTGCAATGTACATACTGAGGTTACTGCATTCTACCGTAGGTTCTTGTCATTGGAGAAGGTAACACTGAATGTATCATCTAATCACTAAGAATGTCAAATCTATTCAATGTCATCAGTGATTGACATTTTTCTGGGTACCAAGATCTACCCCTGTAGATCCTACTATAAATCACTCCTCCATTCTGAGCCTTAACGTCCTTATTTATAAAAATAAGAAGGTTGGGCAAGAAGATTTCTGTAGTCCCCACTTCACTTAAGGCCAAATAAATAAATGAGTTTATTACTTTAGGGTGATCTTCCTACGATTTAATTGGAAAGCATAGCTATAAATTGGTAAAAAGCTCAATAACGTGTTCCCTCAATAACAGCTCAGGGCCACAGTGAGAGGAAAGTCCCAAAGACATCTTGAGTAATTAAGACAATAAGCACGATTAGAGGGAGCTCTGAGGAGGTGATATCGAAGAGGTCAGAGGTAGCAAGAGAATGGAGGCCTCAACCTATTTATAAAGAAGAAATTTCACTCTGAATCCTGTCTCTGGTTACATCTGCAAAGTTTCAGCTTCCCTAGACTCTTTTCTTCAGTACTTTGTTACCAGATCCATCCTGTCCATATTTAAATTGTCAGTCTCTCTTCACCCTTCTCTAAGTGGACTGCCTCTCAAGATTAGGTTAGAATTGACATTCTTACACAACGAAATAGAAGTAAATAGAAGTATTAACAGTTCCAAAAAGGAACCCAGCAATGTCAGTGCCTAACTGAAGAGATAGAGGTCTGATGGGGCAATTGTAGGCGCTGACTCAGTTCTGTGAGTGGGGGAGACAGCAAGGCAGTGATGTTTATATTGATGCTACCATACTTCATACTAAAAAACAAAGAGTACTGCCAGAAATGAAGGCTGCAGGAAAAAGAGCTTAGGACAAAATATAAATTACCAAATGGAATTCTCACTCTCATGACATCTAATTCTTAAGAATTCTGATTCTCAAGGTTTCATTTATGCCATTCTTCTCAAAGTGTTATTTGTTATTTCAACAAATCACCTAAAAGCCAGTTCTGACTTACAAGGAACAAAAGGTAATTTCTGCCAGGATTTGATTTCCCTGCTCCCTTGACTCTTCCATTCACTTTCACTGCCTACCTCTCCCATTGGACCTGGTTTCTATTGGGTTTGCAGGTAGTCCCATCCTGAAACCTTGACTGTCATTCATTAGTGGGTTAAATCATCTCCTTGACAAGCCTAATGGCTGTTCTAATTGGCTAATGTCACATAAGATACCATCCCAAAACTCAGTGGCATAAAACATTCTATTGTGTTCACAGATATGGGTCACGAGTTCAAAAAGGGACACAACCAGGATGGCTCTGCTCTGTTCCACAATGTCTGAGTCCTCAGTTAAGATGACTTATATGTCTGAGAATGACTCTAGTGGCTGAGGAATGCAACAGGCTGGTCTGGAGAATCCATTTGCAGAATGGTTTGTCAACTCATGTTTGGCCCCTTGGCTGGGGTGGCTGGAAAGCTGGGCTCAACTGGGACTATCTAAAAGAGTGCCTACACCTGACCTCTCCATCATGGCAGTATCAAGGCAGTCAGATTTCAAAAGATGCTTCTTCCTACCAATCTCCAAATCCTTTCAGTGGTATGCAGCACATATTTAAGAGTTTCTATGCATTTCCCCTGCCAGCTTGAGAGTAACTATTCCAGTCTGATGAACTAATTATCATTCTTTATGCCTCATAGATTTTATTGCTCCTGTCTACCTTCCTATTCTATTTGTCTTTGTGCAAACACTTATGCCTCTAAAGAATTTTTGCTATTATTTTAGTGGAATTTGGAGAAAGATGGGAGATAAACATATGTATTAATTCCACCATCTTAAATCAAAAGTCCTGCATGTTTTCTTCTAAAACATGTGTGTGTGTATAAAATGACTACGAAGTTTATTAGACTGGTGCTTGTGGAATTAGTCACTCGATACTATTCTTTTATAATGTTCTGTGTTTGACTATATAAAACTTTATCTATCCATTCTTTTTTGATAGGCATCCCAAGTTTTGTTCTTACAAAACAATACTACTATGAAAATTCTTGCGTATGTCTCCTTGTACACTTATGTGAGAGTTTCTCTTAAGAAAGAGAAAGTAAAAGACAATTGATTATAAAATATCAAGCTCATCAACTTTACCAGACAATGCCAAATTGATTTCCAAAGACCCTGAATCAACTTACAGTCCCTCCAGCAGTGGGTAAGAGTTCTTGTGGCTTCACACTCTCACTAACCTTTGGTATTATAAGATTTTTAAAATTTCTGCCCCTATAGTGGGTTTCGAATGGTATCTCACCCACAAAGAAACAATTCAATCCAGCAGAGGTCATCGGTATATATTAAAACCATTGCTTATAAATTACAAAAATAAAAATCCATCTTTACAATACAGAAAAATGGCTGAAGATTTATGTTGTTTTCAACTTGTGGCTTTACAAATTATAATAAAACAACTATGAATATTCATATACAGCTCTTTTTGTAGACAGATGTTTTCATTTCTCTAGGCTATACAGTAAACGAATGTTTAACTTTATACAAAACTACTGAACTGCTTTTCTACAGTGGTGGTGCCATTTTACATTTCTAACAACAAAGTAAAAATTTTCCAGTTGCTCCACATTCTCATCACACTTGCCATTGTCAGACTTTTTAGTTTTAGCCATTTTGGTGCTTATGAAGTAGTATTCTTCATAATTTTAATTCATATTTCCTTAATTATTAATGATGCTGAGTATATTTTCATGAGCTTATTGGACATTCATATATCTTTGTGATGTATTTGTTCATGTTTCTTTTAAAAAAAAATAGTGATCTATCTTATTATTAAGTTGTTCAGGTTATAATGTGTAGGTCTAATTCTGGATTCTCTGTTCCGATCTATTGATCCATATGACTATCTTCCTGCCAATACCACACTGTCTTGATTTCTATAGACAAATAATAAGTCTTGAAATAGGGTAGTATAAGTCTCCATTTTGTTCTTTTTTTATCAAACTTACTTTGGCTATTCTAGATCTTTTGCATTTTGAATAAATTTTAGAATCATCTTGTCAAATCCTACAAAGGCTTGGCGTGATTTTGAATGGGATTGAATTGAATCTATAGATCAATTTGAGGAAGATTGTCATCTTAATAATATTGAGCCTTCCAATCTATAAATATGAAATTTCTCTTCACTGACTTAGCTTTTTTTTTTTTTATTTATCCACATGTTTTATAGTTTCTAATGTAGAGATTTTAGATAGGTTGGTGTTATTACATACTATATTTTTAAAATAACACATCATTGTGGTTTTAGTTTTAATTTCCTAGATTACTAATAAAAATAACCATCTTTTTATATGTAAATGACCAATTTTGTATCTTTTCATACTGTTGCTCAATTTTTATAGGCCTATTTTTTAGTTCTTCATATTTTCTGAGTACTAAATCTTTATCATCAGTGATATGTGATGCAAATAATTTCCTCCAATTTCTGGCTTGTCTCTCACTTTCTTTCTGAATATTATCTGATTAACAGAAGTTTTTACTGTTACTATAATAAGATATAAATATCTTTAGTGTTTATGCCTTTTGAGTATTAAAAATCCTTTTAAAAGTCATAAATATTTTCCTATTCTATTTTTTTTTAATTTTTAAGTTTTCTCTTTCATATTTGTCTTTAACTTTCTTGGAATTAACTTATAAGTATGGTGCAAGGAAAGTATTTAATTTCATGGTTTTTAAAATCTATATAACCAATTATCCCAGCATCATTTATTTATCTACTATTTTCCCACTGATTTGTGAAGTAGGCTTCATTATGGACAAAATTTTCATATATTCATGGGTTCATAGCTGATTTTATGTATTTCTTTGTTTCCCAACTCGACCACATTGTCTTAATTACTATAGCTTTATAATACGTCTCCTTATCTAGAAGGACAAATTCTCCAACTATGTTCTTCTCTCAGAGGATCTTGGCAGTTCTCAGCCCTGTGCTCTTCTCATATAAATGTTCAAATGAGCCTGTCAAGTTCCATGAAAACCTTGTTAGGATTTGATTGGAATAACATTGACTCCCTAAATCAGTTTGGGAAGAATTGACCTCTTTATAATACCGATTCTTTCTTTCTGTGTCTCATTTTCAATCTAATCTTTTGTTATTTATCAAGTAACCCAATATCCAGTTCAGAGGAGAAACTCAACATATTCTGTTAAATATTCTGGATTAATTAATGAATGCATGTAGTAAGTCTACCTAAGATCTCTGGGAACTCATCACCACTGCATTGCTACCAGGCAGTCTTGTTTACAGTGAAACATTTCAGGATTTCCTACCAAGGGAATAGTAGCTCAGAGAAATGATACAGGGCAGGAAGAAAGGCAAGTTAAGGGTTTCCAGATGATGCCCACACAAGTTTCTTGCAACACGACATTTATGGTCTCTACTCCCAGCCAAAAACTATGTAATACAGCCTGTCTCCACAAGCATAACCAGTTTGATCACTGAGTTTTTAGTATAAATAGAAAAAAAGGATGATTTAAAGGACTGTTAAAACCAATTTAAACAAAGCAAAGGTTTTCCATTGTGTTTAATACTTAAGAAAACTTCCAGAATCACTTTTATTTCTATTGCTATAAGGTGACGAAATAAAGTGTTCATCTTAACCCCATGACATATTGAGTTTTACAGGCTTTAATACAATACAAGCTTTAAACAGGGATTAGTAAACTTACTACTTAACATTTTACATCAACAAATACAGTTTGAGGTCATCATCAGTTTTCCTACAAAACACTGACATGATATAATAATATGAACAATGAAACAAATCATTTGAAATGGGAAAATTCTTATTCCACATATCAGAAAAATAAGCTGTTGGATTTATGATCACTTAAGAGAAGGCTCTTCCCCTAATGAAATTGTCAGTGGCACAGGAAAAATTACAATGCCGTAAAGGAGGCAACAAAAATCTTCACTTTGAAGCATTTTTAGC